CTGGCTTCCTGCTATGCCCTTTTCATTCAGCTCAAGACCCCAGCCCTAGGGTGGTACCACCTGCTTCAGAGTGGTCTTCCCTCCTCAGTTAAGTCTCTCTGGAAACACCCTCACAGATACACCTAGAGGTATACCTTACCAAAGACCTAGGTTTCTTAATCTACTCAAAAATGGAAAATAACCATCACACTAGAGAGTTCCTTTGCATGAGAATGCTAAACACTCAGTAGAAAGTTTAGCTACTCCAATAGAGAAGAACCTGGTTGTTGTGGGGTGCTTTCCCTTGACTCAGTGATTAAAGGAGGCCCCAGAGGGCCCCAAACAAACATAGCTGCTGTGATGGCTCTTGGTTGTCCATCAGAACTAGATGGCAAGTCCCTATTGCAGAAGAAACCACACATGCTGGTTGTAGGACATGGAGCATTCAAGCTGGACCTGGAAACTTCCCTTCTGCTGTCTAGCTTTTGTAGGGCAGACGGTGCTACGCAGGTCACTGAGGGAGAAAAGTCATTCGTGGAATTATCCAGCTCCCCTCCATGCTACAGCACAGACCTGCCAGGTAAGATGTGCCCACTGGTGCAACAGTGGCATGAAGGTCAGGTGGGCTAATCCATCATTTTGGATTGGACTTGAGGCCTGCCCCACAGGAAAGAATCCATGCCTGGTACTGTAACCTAGTCAAAAGCCTGTGGCTCAGGAGATCATGGACGCTAAGGGGGAACCGAATGTTTCTTTGTAAATAGACATGTGGTCAGACTGCCTTCTAAGTATTTATTATGCATATAGATTATATACACGGATCAGTGCTATGCTCAACCTTGGCCGGAGAAGCTTCTCTGCAGCGCTCAGCAGTTAGCGCAGAGACTAAAGTGGTCAAAGAGCTGAGTACTCAGCTCTAAAGGGGACAAGTGCATCAATCCCCACTCTAAGGCTCAGGCAACACCACAGAAGAAGGGGCAGAAAGAATGTAAGAGCTGGGGGACATGGAGGAATGCTGGGAGACACTGTCCTTCGGACACGTGCCCATAGCACCCGTGAACGCACTGCACCTATGGTTATGCCCTAAGTGCTTCTTAATCCAGTCAAGACCTGCATACGGTCAAACCAACAAGGTCACTCACCATTCCAAGAGACAGCACTAACTCGAGTCAGCGGGTTACAGAATGACAGGAGAGGACGTCAAGGAAGGAGAAGGAAAAACTGGGGGCATCTGGGGGGTAGTGGGAGGGTGAGCTGGGGTATCATCAAGATACTTTGTTCACATGTATGAAATTGGCAAAGAATAAATAAAAAACATTTTAACATGAAAATTAAAAAAGAAAAAGAACCCTAGTCAAGAACTTCAAATTCCTTTGAAAACTGGTTTTTGGCTTTTAGATTTTCTGTTTAAAACATCCATCAAAGATCTGTTAAGACCAGACAAGCCTGGTTTCCTGATTTGCTATTAAATGAGTGTACATTTGAACTTCCAAGGCAAACTAAAATATTGAGGAGTTGTTTGTAAGGCTGGGCCTGCTGGTGCAGGTCTGAATCCTGAATCCCAGATATTCAGTAGACTGAGATAGGAAGACCAGCCTAGGAAGCTGAGATTTTGTCACAAAATAAAGTAAGGGGGACTGGAGATATAACTCAGGGGTGGACCCCGTCTACCATGCATCAAACCTCTTCAGGCCTTAGCACAGAAGATACACATGCATGCGCGTGTGCGTGCACGCGCGCGCGCACGCACACACACACACACACACAGAGAGAGAAAGAGAGAGAGAAATATAATCTATTTTATAGTTCTCCACTTTTTAATTGATTTTTTGTGATCTTCATGCAATATATTTTGATCAT